CAGAGACAGAGGCAGAGACAGAGACAGAGACAGAGGCAGAGGCAGAGACAGAGACAGAGGCAGAGGCAGAGACAGAGGCAGAGACAGAGACAGAGGCAGAGACAGAGACAGAGACAGAGGCAGAGACAGAGGCAGAGACAGAGACAGAGACAGAGACAGAGGCAGAGGCAGAGACAGAGACAGAGACAGAGACAGAGACAGAGGCAGAGACAGAGACAGAGACAGAGGCAGAGACAGAGACAGAGACAGAGACAGAGGCAGAGACAGAGGCAGAGACAGAGGCAGAGACAGAGACAGAGGCAGAGACAGAGACAGAGGCAGAGACAGAGGCAGAGGCAGAGACAGAGGCAGAGACAGAGGCAGAGACAGAGGCAGAGACAGAGACAGAGGCAGAGACAGAGGCAGAGACAGAGACAGAGACAGAGGCAGAGACAGAGGCAGAGACAGAGGCAGAGACAGAGACAGAGACAGAGGCAGAGACAGAGAATTTCGCCACATTTCAGGCTTCAAAATAAAGATATAAAAAATATATTTGTTTTGTCAAGAATCAACAACAAGTGGGACACAATCGTGAAGTGGAACGAAATTTATTGGATAATTTAAACTTTTTTTAACAAATAAAAAACTGAAGAAGTGGGGGCGTGCAATATTATTCGGCCCCCTTGCGCGTAATACTTTGTAGCGCCACCTTTTGCTGCAATTACAGCTGCAAGTCGCTTGGGGTATGTCTCTATCAGTTTTAGCACATCGAGAGACTGGAATTCTTGCCCATTCTTCCTTGCAAAACAGCTCGAGCTCAGTGAGGTTGGATGGAGAGCGTTTGTGAACAGCAGTCTTCAGCTCTTTCCACAGATTCTCGATTGGATTCAGGTCTGGACTTTGACTTGGCCATTCTAACACCTGGATACGTCTATTTGTGAACCATTCCATTGTAGATTTGGCTTTATGTTTTGGATCATTGTCCTGTTGGAAGATAAATCTCCGTCCCAGTCTCAGGTCTTTTGCAGACTCCAACAGGTTTTCTTCCAGAATGGTCCTGTATTTGGCTCCATCCATCTTCCCATCAATTTTAGCCATCTTCCCTGTCCCTGCTGAAGAAAAGCAGACCCAAAGCATGATGCTGCCACCACCATGTTTGACAGTGGGGATGGTGTGTTCAGGGTGATGAGCTGTGTTGCTTTTACGCCAAACATATCGTTTTGCATTGTGGCCAAAAAGTTCGATTTTGGTTTCATCCGACCAGAGCACCTTCTTCCACATGTTTGGTGTGTCTCCCAGGTGGCTTGTGGGCAAACTTTAAACCAGACTTTTTATGGATATCTTTGAGAAATGGCACTCTTCCTTAATGCTGCCGGAGTCTTACCGGTTCAATTTAAAATCTTGTGCTGCTGACTTTTAGATCCTTATATGGTCAGACTCCTACTTACATCAGAGATCTGATTCAGCCCTATGTCCCCTCCGTTCTCTGAGGTCTGCAGATAAAATCTCTTGATGTTCCTCGCCTCGTTATCGAACCAGAGGAGACAGATCCTTGGAGGCGACGCGCCTGACTAGGAAGACTCGCTCTCTCTACGATCACTTGACTCAGTTTCTACATTCTAATCCCAATCTAAGACGTTCTTGTGCTCCGTCGAGCGTTTGAAAGTTCGCTTTTGGGAGATATGACTGTCTCCACTGTTGTTTGATTGTGTAAAATCTTCTCGTCTTTAAACTGTATGCTCGGTTCCTTTGATGTGATGCACTTTGTGACCTTCATGGTTCTGCAAAGGTGCTATTAAATAAACATGCAAGCTTGCCTGAGACTATCAAAGAGCAGGTGCATTTATAAGGAGACTTGATTACACACCAGCTGCATTCTATTTATCATCATCAGTCATTTAGGACCAACATTGGATCATTCAAAGATCCTCACTGAACTTCTGGACTGAGTTTGCTGCACTGAAAGTAAAGGGGCCGAATAATATTGCCACGCCCACTTTTCAATATGTACAATAAAAGTGGCAATTAAAGAAACAGTGTCAATAGTAGTGCAGGTTTTTAGTCCGAGTGCAAGTGACTTAAAGTGACTTGTTGTACAGTCTGACAGCGGTGTCTGCTCCTTCTTCCACTGAAGGAGCTCCTCAGCTCCTCCTCAGTCCTGTTCAGTGGGAGGTGTTGTTCATGATGGAGGTGGCTTTGACTAGCACCTCCTGTCCCTCACCTCCTCCACAGAGTCCAGGCCCAGGGCCTCCTGTCCCTCACCTCCTCCACAGAGTCCAGGGGCCTCCTGTCCCTCACCTCCTCCACAGAGTCCAGGGGCCTCCTGTCCCCCTCCTCCACAGAGTCCTCCCAGGTCCAGGCCCAGGGCCTCCTGTCCCTCACCTCCTCCACAGAGTCCAGGGGCCTCCTGTCCCTCACCTCCTCCACAGAGTCCAGGGGCCTCCTGTCCCTCACCTCCTCCACAGAGTCCAGGGGCCTCCTGTCCCTCACCTCCTCCACAGAGTCCAGGCCCAGGGCCTCCTGTCCCTCACCTCCTCCACAGAGTCCAGGGGCCTCCTGTCCCGCTCTGTGCTGCCCGGGGCCCAGCACACGGCAGCATAGTATATGGCAGAGGCCTGCTCACTCCGAAGGACCTCAGCCTCCTCAGAAGGACCTCAGCCTCCTCAGAAAGACCTCAGCTTCCTCCGAAGGACCTCAGTCTCCTCAGAAGGACCTCAGTCTCCTCAGAAGGACCTCAGCCTCCTCAGAAGGACTCACCAGCCCCTCAGAAGGACCTCAGCCTCCTCAGAAGGACCTCAGCCTCCTCAGAAGGACCTCAGCCTCCTCAGAAGGACCTCAGCCTCCTCAGAAGGACCTCGCCTCCTCAGAAGGACCTCAGCCTCCTCAGAAGGACCTCAGCCTCCTCAGAAGGACCTCAGCCTCCTCAGAAGGACCTCAGCCTCCTCAGAAGGACCTCAGTCTCCTCAGAAGGACCTCAGCCTCCTCAGAAGGACCTCAGTCTCCTCAGAAGGACCTCAGCCTCCTCAGAAGGACCTCAGTCTCCTCAGAAGGACCTCAGCCTCCTCAGAAAGACCTCAGCCTCCTCAGAAGGACCTCAGCCTCCTCTGAAGGGCCTCAGCCTCCTCAGAAGGACCTCAGCCTCCTCAGAAGGAAGAGGCAACTTTGGCCCTTCTTGTACAGGGCGTTGACCAGTCCAGTTTATTGTTAATGTGAGCACAGGTACTTGAAGCTGTCCACCAGCTCAATGTCCTCCCCCTGGATGTTCAGCAGCGTGTGGGAAAGTGGTTTTCTCCTGAAGTCGATGATCATCTCCTTGGTCTTACTGGTGTTAGCACAGGTACCATCTCCTTGGTCTTACTGGTGTTAGCACAGGTACCATCTCCTTGGTCTTACTGGTGTTAGCACAGGTACCATCTCCTTGGTCTTACTGGTGTCAGCACAGGTACCATCTCCTTGGTCTTACTGGTGTTAGCACAGGTACCATCTCCTTGGTCTTACTGGTGTCAGCACAGGTACCATCTCCTTGGTCTTACTGGTGTTAGCACAGGTACCATCTCCTTGGTCTTACTGGTGTTCGCACAGGTACCATCTCCTTGGTCTTACTGGTGTTAGCACAGGTACCATCTCCTTGGTCTTACTGGTGTTCGCACAGGTACCATCTCCTTGGTCTTACTGGTGTCAGCACAGGTACCATCTCCTTGGTCTTACTGGTGTCAGCACAGGTACCATCTCCTTGGTCTTACTGGTGTTAGCACAGGTACCATCTCCTTGGTCTTACTGGTGTTCAAGCACAGGTACCATCTCCTTGGTCTTACTGGTGTTCGCACAGGTACCATCTCCTTGGTCTTACTGGTGTCAGCACAGGTACCATCTCCTTGGTCTTACTGGTGTTAGCACAGGTACCATCTCCTTGGTCTTACTGGTGTTAGCACAGGTACCATCTCCTTGGTCTTACTGGTGTTCAAGCACAAGTGGTTGCGCTCACACCAGTCGACAAAGTCCTTGATAACCGACCGATATTCCAGTTCGTTCCCCTCAGACACACAGCCCACGATGGCGGAGTCGTCGGAGAACTTCTGCAGGTGACAGCTGTGTGTGTCGTGTGTGAAGTCTGAGGTGTAGATGGTGAAGAGAAACGGTGAGAGGACAGTGCCCTGAGGGGCCCCAGTGCCCTGAGGGGCCCCAGTGCTGCAGACGACCACCTCAGACTCACAGCTGCGCAGCCGCACGTACTGTGGTCGCTCTGAGAGGTAGTTGATGGTCCATGCAGTGAGGTAGTTGATGGTCCATGCAGTGAGGTAGTTGATGGTCCATGCAGTGAGGTAGTTGATGGTCCATGCAGTGAGGTAGTTGATGGTCCATGCAGTGAGGTAGTTGATGGTCCATGCAGTGAGGTAGTTGATGGTCCATGCAGTGAGGTAGTTGATGGTCCATGCAGTGAGGTAGTTGATGGTCCATGCAGTGAGGTAGTTGCTGGTCCTGCAGTGAGGTAGTCCATGGTCCATGCAGTGAGGTAGTTGATGGTCCATGCAGTGAGGTAGTTGATGGTCCTGCAGTGAGGTAGTCCATGGTCCTGCAGTGAGGTAGTCCATGGTCCTGCAGTGAGGTAGTCCATGGTCCATGCAGTGAGGTAGTTGATGGTCCATGCAGTGTGGTAGTTGATGGTCCATGCAGTGAGGTAGTTGATGGTCCTGCAGTGAGGTAGTCCATGGTCCTGCAGTGAGGTAGTCCATGGTCCTGCAGTGAGGTAGTCCATGGTCCATGCAGTGTGGTAGTTGATGGTCCTTGCAGTGAGGTAGTCCATGGTCCTGCAGTGAGGTAGTCCATGGTCCATGCAGTGTGGTAGTTGATGGTCCTTGCAGTGAGGTAGTTGATGGTCCTGCAGTGAGGTAGTCCATGGTCCATGCAGTGTGGTAGTTGATGGTCCTTGCAGTGAGGTAGTTGATGGTCATGCAGTGAGGTAGTTGATGGTCCATGCAGTGAGGTAGTCCATGGTCCATGCAGTGAGGTAGTCCATGGTCCTACAGTGAGGTAGTTGATGGTCCTGCCGTGAGGTACTCCATGGTCCTGCAGTGAGGTAGTCCATGGTCCATGCAGTGAGGTGGTCCATGGTCCTGCAGTGAGGTAGTTGATGGTCCTGCAGTGAGGTAGTCCATGGTCCATGCAGTGTGGTAGTTGATGGTCCATGCATTGAGGTAGTTGATGGTCCTTGCAGTGAGGTAGTCCATTGTCCATGCAGTGAGGTAGTCCATGGTCCATGCAGTGAGGTAGTCCATGGTCCATGCAGTGAGGGAGTCCATGGTCCTGCAGTGAGGTAGTCCATGGTCCATGCAGTGAGGGAGTTGATGGTCCATGCAGTGAGGTAGTTGATGGTCCTGCAGTGAGGTAGTTGCTGGTCCTGCAGTGAGGTAGTCCATGGTCCATGCAGTGAGGTAGTTGATGGTCCATGCAGTGAGGTAGTTGATGGTCCTGCAGTGAGGTAGTCCATGGTCCTGCAGTGAGGTAGTCCATGGTCCATGCAGTGAGGTAGTCCATGGTCCATGCAGTGAGGTAGTTGATGGTCCTGCAGTGAGGTAGTCCATGGTCCATGCAGTGAGGTAGTTGATGGTCCATGCAGTGAGCTAGTTGATGGTCCATGCAGTGAGCTAGTTGATGGTCCATGCAGTGAGCTAGTTGATGGTCCATGCAGTGAGGTAGTCCATGGTCCTGCAGTGAGGTAGTTGATGGTCCATGCAGTGAGGTAGTCCATGGTCCTGCAGTGAGGTAGTTGATGGTCCATGCAGTGAGGTAGTCCATGGTCCTGCAGTGAGGTAGTTGATGGTCCATGCAGTGAGGTAGTCCATGGTCCTGCAGTGAGGTAGTTGATGGTCCATGCAGTGAGGTAGTCCATGGTCCTGCAGTGAGGTAGTCCATGGTCATGCAGTGCCGGTCTGATGGTGTTGAAAGCACTGGAGAAGTCGAAAAACATGACCCTCACAGCGCCCCCTGCAGGCTCCAGGTGGGAGAGCGTCCACTGCAGGAAGTAGATGACGGCGTCTTCTACTCCGATGTTGGGCCTGTAGGCGAACTGCAGCGGGTCCAGGGTGGGGCTGACCACGGAGCGGAGATGGGTGAGGAAGAGCCGCTCCATGGTCTTCATCAGTGGTTATTCAGTCAGTAATGTCACATTTTAGTATAACTTAATAAAAAGTTTTCTTTTTGTCTTGTGCACCATGAGATCAGCAGGAGACACATTTGCTCCTATAGTATTTGTCCAGAAGTGTTCTTTACTGGTAGAAGAAGGCTGTGGCTGAAGCAGATGTGTTGGTCATTAACCTATTATTTAGAGTTTGTTAAAGATGTGGACGTAACAGTTTAGTTTATGCTCAAACCAAAAGCTCTGTCAACCTCACGCTAGCATCATAAACTACATGTAGCTTGTATTTATTTATTTGGGGAAAGAAACTTGACTTTGAACTGCGTGGACTTACGTGACATTAAACGGTTTTCCAACCAGACAAGAATCTACTGTATCAGACTGTAACTCCCTATGTGACCACCAGGGGGAGGAGGTGAAGCTGCTTCTGGATTTATTCCCAATTTTAAAATTACTGGAAAGAAACATTGACAAATTGATGTATCTCTGCCTGTGTATCTTTCTGATGTTCATACATGTTGCACACAGAAAAACACATGCTACACACGCATACACTGTACGTTTGAGACCAAGGTCAGATATCTCAGACTCCTTCTTTTTCTTCTTCTTCTCCTCGTCTTCGTGGCGGTGGCAGGTGACCGGCACGTGGCTGTTCGGCCGCTTCTGTGGCGTGTGGATCGCCTTCGACATCATGTGCTCCACAGCCTCCATCCTCAACCTGTGCATGATCAGTGTGGACCGCTACTGGGCCATCGCCAGCCCCTTCAAGTACGAGCGCCGCATGACCCACCGTGTGGCCTGCGTCATGGTGGGCGTGGCCTGGACCCTCTCCATCCTCATCTCCTTCATCCCTGTGCAGCTCAACTGGCATCAGGAGGTCCGGGAGCAGCAGGAGTACCAGGAGCAGATCCTGCTCCAGGGGAACTCCAGCGGGGGCTACAGGTGTGGACTGCACCTGTAGAACTGTGACACACATAGTACTGCACTGTAGAACTGTGACACACATAGTACTGCACTGTAGAACTGTGACACACATAGTACTGCACCTGTAGAACTGTGACACACATAGTACTGCACCTGTAGAACTGTGACACACATAGTACTGCACCTGTAGAACTGTGACACACATAGTACTGCACCTGTAGAACTGTGACACACATAGTACTGCACCTGTAGAACTGTGACACACATAGTACTGCACCTGTAGAACTGTGACACACATAGTACTGCACCTGTAGAACTGTGACACACATAGTACTGCACTGTAGAACTGTGACACACATAGTACTGCACCTGTAGAACTGTGACACACATAGTACTGCACCTGTAGAACTGTGACACACATAGTACTGCACTGTAGAACTGTGACACACATAGTACTGCACCTGCAGAACTGTGACACACATAGTACTGCACTGTAGAACTGTGACACACATAGTACTGCACCTGTAGAACTGTGACACACATAGTACTGCACCTGTAGAACTGTGACACACATAGTACTGCACCTGTAGAACTGTGACACACATAGTACTGCACTGTAGAACTGTGACACACATAGTACTGCACTGTAGAACTGTGACACACATAGTACTGCACCTGCAGAACTGTGACACACATAGTACTGCACTGTAGAACTGTGACACACATAGTACTGCACCTGTAGAACTGTGACACACATAGTACTGCACCTGTAGAACTGTGACACACATAGTACTGCACTGTAGAACTGTGACACACATAGTACTGCACCTGTAGAACTGTGACACACATAGTACTGCACCTGTAGAACTGTGACACACATAGTACTGCACCTGTAGAACTGTGACACACATAGTACTGCACCTGTAGAACTGTGAGTAAAACACACATAGTACTGCACTGTAAAACTGTGACACACATAGTACTGCACTGTAGAACATGTGACACACATAGTACTGCACCTGTAGAACTGTGACACACATAGTACTGCACTGTAAAACTGTGACACACATAGTACTGCACTGTAAAACTGTGACACACATAGTACTGCACTGTAGAACATGTGACACACATAGTACTGCACTGTAGAACATGTGACACACATAGTACTGCACTGTAGAACATGTGACACACATAGTACTGCACTGTAGAACATGTGACACACATAGTACTGCACTGTAGAACATGTGACACACATAGTACTGCACTGTAGAACATGTGACACACATAGTACTGCACCTGTAGAACTGTGACACACATAGTACTGCACCTGTAGAACATGTGACACACATAGTACTGCACTGTAGAACATGTGACACACATAGTACTGCACCTGTAGAACTGTGACACACATAGTACTGCACTGTAGAACATGTGACACACATAGTACTGCACTGTAGAACATGTGACACACATAGTACTGCACCTGTAGAACTGTGACACACATAGTACTGCACCTGTAGAACATGTGACACACATAGTACTGCACTGTAGAACATGTGACACACATAGTACTGCACTGTAGAACTGTGACACACATAGTACTGCACCTGTAGAACTGTGACACACATAGTACTGCACCTGTAGAACTGTGACACACATAGTACTGCACCTGTAGAACTGTGACACACATAGTACTGCACCTGTAGAACTGTGACACACATAGTACTGCACTGTAAAACTGTGACACACATAGTACTGCACTGTAAAACTGTGACACACATAGTACTGCACTGTAGAACATGTGACACACATAGTACTGCACCTGTAGAACTGTGACACACATAGTACTGCACCTGTAGAACTGTGACACACATAGTACTGCACCTGTAGAACATGTGACACACATAGTACTGCACTGTAGAACTGTGACACACATAGTACTGCACTGTAGAACATGTGACACACATAGTACTGCACCTGTAGAACATGTGACACACATAGTACTGCACTGTAGAACATGTGACACACATAGTACTGCACTGTAGAACATGTGACACACATAGTACTGCACTGTAGAACATGTGACACACATAGTACTGCACCTGTAGAACTGTGACACACATAGTACTGCACCTCTAGAACATGTGACACACATAGTACTGCACTGTAGAACATGTGACACACATAGTACTGCACCTGTAGAACTGTGACACACATAGTACTGCACTGTAGAACATGTGACACACATAGTACTGCACTGTAGAACATGTGACACACATAGTACTGCACCTGTAGAACATGTGACACACATAGTACTGCACTGTAGAACATGTGACACACATAGTACTGCACCTGTAAAACTGTGACACACATAGTACTGCACTGTAGAACATGTGACACACATAGTACTGCACCTGTAGAACTGTGACACACATAGTACTGCACCTGTAGAACATGTGACACACATAGTACTGCACTGTAGAACATGTGACACACATAGTACTGCACTGTAGAACATGTGACACACATAGTACTGCACCTGTAGAACATGTGACACACATAGTACTGCACTGTAGAACATGTGACACACATAGTACTGCACTGTAGAACATGTGACACACATAGTACTGCACTGTAGAACATGTGACACACATAGTACTGCACCTGTAGAACATGTGACACACATAGTACTGCACTGTAGAACATGTGACACACATAGTACTGCACTGTAAAACTGTGACACACATAGTACTGCACTGTAGAACATGTGACACACATAGTACTGCACCTGTAGAACTGTGACACACATAGTACTGCACTGTAGAACTGTGACACACATAGTACTGCACTGTAAAACTGTGACACACATAGTACTGCACTGTAGAACATGTAGTATACACAGATCACACACACGGCTGCCAAGCCTGATCGTTGCAGCTCTCAGAAGTGTAGGGTCTGGTCAGTGTAAGGATGGTAGACCATGGAATACCAGGTTACAGGTGGGCTGTGAAGTGCTGTTGTCTCCATCCATGTTTTATGAAGTGAGAGAGGGCAGCCTTTGATCAGTCTGTCCCAGGGCAGCTGTGGCTAATACGGTTATCACTTCATGTTGGATACATGGAGTGATGTGGATCTCGGTCTCAGTCTTCTGGAAGCTCACAAAACGTTACATTTGTAACGTGAAAAGCTCGAGTGAAACTACACAAATGAACAGAAAGTACAGTAGCTTTGCTTTACAAACATACATTTTCTAATCCAGTATCTGCTAATCAAGTTAGTGCCAAAGTTAAAACAACAACCATCAGGCACTAACTCACAGTTGTTGCTTAACAGCACCTTATGAAAACTATTGCACTTTACAGCTGTGCATTGACCCTAGCTGTGAGACATCACTTCCTGTTGGTGCATCTGCTGAAAAAGCAATTTCCTCCAGTGGGAAATATATGATAAGAAGAATATAACTTTGAATTTCATTTGTTCTATTTGAAGTACAAACAAACTAACACAGTTTAATGATCTTTGTTCTGTGACCCTCGTCTGCCTGCAGCGTGAACAGCAGTGGGGGCGGAGTGCAGAGCTGTGTGGCTAACCTAAACCGCACCTACGCCATCTCCTCGTCCCTGATCAGCTTCTACATCCCCGTGCTCATCATGGTGGCCACCTACACGCGCATCTACCGCATCGCGCAGACGCAGATCCGCCGCATCGCGTCCCTGGAGCGGGCGGCGGAGCAGGCGCAGCAGCAGCAGACTCCGGACCTGCGACTGCAGGACGAGGCCTCGCTCAAGTCCTCCTTCAAGAAAGAGACCAAAGTCCTGAAGACGCTGTCCATCATCATGGGCGTGTTCGTCTTCTGCTGGCTGCCCTTCTTCGTGCTGAACTGTACCGTGCCGTTCTGCGACCCGCCGTGCGTCAGCGACACCACCTTCACCGTGTTCGTGTGGTTCGGTTGGGCCAACTCCTCGCTCAACCCCGTCATCTACGCCTTCAACGCCGACTTCAGACGAGCCTTCAGCACCATCCTGGGCTGCAGCCGCATCTGCCCCAGCAACGCCGTGGAGGCCGTGAACTTCAGCAACGAGCTGGTGTCCTACCACCACGACACCACACTGCACAAAGAGCCCCTGATGCCCTCCCAGACTCTGCAGGGGGCGGAGCAGCGGCTGGAGGGGATGGGCGCCACGTTTGACGAAGAGTCACTCATCTCCAACTGTTCACGAGGACACGACCAACTGCTGCTGGACGAACCAGAGATCTCACTGGACACCATCACTCCCTACACCCACCTCCTCCCAGGCCAGGTCCACAGGGACTGACAGGTCCACAGGGACTAGCACTAGGTCCACAGGGACTGACAGGGATGCACAGGTCCCAAGGGACTAACACCAGGACAGGTCCACAGGGACTAACACCTGGTCCACAAGGACTAACTCCAGGACTTCAGGTCCACAGCGACTCGCTCTCACCAGATAGTTCAGATTTTGTATAACTTTGTTACAGTGTTTTGCTGATTATTCTCTGATGTCTCTGATGATTCTCTGATGTCTCTGATGATTCTCTGATGATTCTCTGATGTCTCTGATGATTCTCTGATGATACTCTGATGTCTCTGATAATTCTCTGATGTCTCTGATGATTCTCTGATGTCTCTGATGATTCTCTGATGTCTCTGATGATTCTCTGATGATTCTCTGATGTCTCTGATGATTCTCTGATGATTCTCTGATGTCTCTGATGATTCTCTGATGATACTCTGATGTCTCTGATGATTCTCTGATGTCTCTGATGATTCTCTGATGTCTCTGATGATTCTCTGATGATACTCTGATGTCTCTGATGATTCTCTGATGTCTCTGATGATTCTCTGATGTCTCTGATGATTCTCTGATGATTCTCTGATGTCTCTGATGATTCTCTGATGATTCTCTGTTCTCTGCTTCCTTCACTTCTGTGGCTCTTTCCTTTTTGCTCAACACTGATCAGCAATCGACTGTTGTACACATCAGGTACCATCAGGTAATCAGGACAAAATCACCATCACACCCAGAGACCAACAGAGTCTGAGTTGGAGACCACTGGGACCAGAGGGAAACTGGGTTTAGGACCACAGGGACCAGAGGGAGTCTGGGTTTAGGACCACAGGGACCAGAGGGAGTCTGGGTTTAGGACCACAGGGACCAGAGGGAGTCTGGGTTTAGGACCGCTGGGACCAGTGGGAGTCTGGGTTTAGGACCACAGGGACCAGAGGGAGTCTGGGTTTAGGACCACAGGGACCAGAGGGAGTCTGGGTTTAGGACCACTGGGACCAGAGGGAGTCTGGGTTTAGGACCACAGGGACCAGAGGGAGTCTGGGTTTAGGACCACAGGGACCAGAGGGAGTCTGGGTTTAGGACCACAGGGACCAGAGGGAGTCTGGGTTTAGGACCACTGGGACCAGAGGGAGTCTGGGTTTAGGACCACTGGGACCAGAGGGAGTCTGGGTTTAGGACCACAGGGACCAGAGGAAGTCTGGGTTGGGGACCACTGGGACCACAGACCAGGACAAGTCCTCACATTTTGAAATGGGACAAACCTTTTCTTTCTCAAAGCTGTTTCTGAGGGACTCGATGTTATTTCCTTTAGTTTCATGTTTTTATATTCCCCTGTTACTTGTTCGTCCTTTTGCTTTCAGTGCTTTTGCTTTCAGTGCTTGGTTTAAGATCGATGTTGGGATTTCACATGTACTAAATGTGCTCCATTTTATTTGCTACGATCGATAAATGCCACAGAAACATCTCCACATCGAACACGTTTTTGCTTAAAGGACTTGGTTTGGATAATACAGTGTGAACATATGGAAGGGTTACTTTCTGGACTCGTAAACACCTCGAAACTAACCACACCAGCTCAGTGTTCAGAGAAAGTCAGTGCTGCGCTTGAATGCACACTTCAGGTTTCATAGTGATGTAAAAAAGCTGCTGTCACATGGTTTAATGATGAGGTGTTTTTACGCATTGTTGACTCAGGTACTAGTCAACAATGTCCCTTCTCCGCTGAACCTCAACAGTCTAAATAAATCCTACTCTTTGGCAGAGTCCTGTGTATTTCCCTGCATTTACCTGGTGTCAGACTGAAGCAGGAAGCTGTGACCATAGTAGCAGCTTATAGTCCAGCGAGCACTGTCAGACTGTACTATAAACATATAATTAGTAGTGTGGACTAGGAAGGGTTCTCATGAAAGTAATAATGAATGTATTTATTAATTGTTCGATTGATAACAGATTTTACAGTCATTGACTTTAGACACACTTCATTATCTGCTTCAACGTAACTATGTATATATAAAATAAAACACACATTACTGATCGCAAACTCTAAATACATATTAGAAAGAACATATTTTTTGTTCACTTTTGTTTTAATTATTTGATTCTTTTTCTTTTTATTATGATTCTTAAGGCAAATAAAATGAATGAATTCTTTCACATTTTGGGCTAGTTTTAACTGTTGATAGTTCAATTCAATTCAATTCAATTCTTTTATTTACAAAACTCGTAGCCATATTGGTTATACACTTTTACAATGGCGTGTTGGTTGGTGTTTTGTAAAAAGGCAACTCCCAGGAAGCTGCATTAGCTTAAACAACACAGCAGAAACAAGTGTTACATTCCATACTACCACACAACCCCAAAACCCACTTACAAACAAAAAAGATTGAACATCTTCAGGAATATCTGTTGTTACAACTCTGAGAAAGATTTCCATTTCTTTCAAAGTCAAACCATTTTTTTTTTAAACGAGTCAATTCAGCTTCAACCTGTTCGAAACACTTTTATGTCATACACTGAACAAAAAAAATTGGAATCATTTGAAAAAATAGCCATTTTTCATTTCTGTAGAAGTAGTACAAATATTCTTCCAGTAGTTTATCAAATTGATCTAATAAGGACATTGTCCTGAAGTTTGTTAATCAGTGCTTTTTGCCGTCTTTAAAGATCGGGAGCACTTTGGCCGAGCTTCATTTTCTCAGGGAAGGTTCCTGTGGTAGAACCGTCTGAACAACACAATGACTTTGATCCAGGTCAATATTATTACAACCTCTTCTAAAACATCGCTCTCAGGAACAGTCTGCTGTGTTTACATCCCCACTTTCTTTAACGTCAGATTTATACTTTTGTTCAGTGTGTTCAAAGTTCTATATCTAACTATAAAGATTATACTCTTTTCCTTGGTTGGCTTTTTTATAAATGTTTTATATCATTGATGTTTATTTTCACGAGATTTCTGAAGCCCTCTAGTCATCCATGGATTCAATTTACATTTGTGTTTTAACTAAAACTCCTCACTGCACAAACGTGATTATACATTTTATGGGTACAGACCCAAACCCAACATATTTTAGTTTGCTAAATCTGTCCTTTTTATGTGTTCACTGGATTTCAATAAATCAATAATAAAACACCACAGACTAAAAGTCTTTTGTTCATTTGTTAACTCTATTATTTGCTATTATCTCATCTGGTCCTCTCCTGGTCCTTTCCAGGTCCTGGTCCTCTCCTGGTCCAGACCCGTTGCTCCTCCACATGGAGAGGAGCCAGGTAGGGCTGGGCGGTATAAACGGTATAAGCGGTAGACGGTATAAATTTGGCCCACGGTAGAGATTTTTGTTATACCGGCATATTGCGATAGGTCATTATGTCATTAAATTGCGCAGGCTCTGACGCCAGCAGAAAGGACCAAAACAAACCGGCATTCAGCAGCATTAGCCTAGCACATTAGCCTAGCACATTAGCCTAGCACATTAGCCTAGCACATTAGCCTAGCACTATTGGACACCACTGGAAACAACGAACAACAGCACGGCATTAACACAGTGTTTCTGTCTCTGTATTGTTGTCACAGCGGCCCCAGCAGAGGTAAATACACACACAGTAATCACAGTTTAAGCGTCTACCTTTTGGCCAATCAGTGTCAAAGGGGCGTAGGCTCGAAGCGCCAGCGTGAGCCAAAATAGATCCAGCGTGAGCCGTGTCCGCAGCATCACAGCAGAAGTTTGGGAAAGTTAGCGTCAGATTCGGACCTCCGCGGTCAATATCTCACGAAAGCTACTTTGTTAAACAAAATTATTTGTGCCAAAATGACCATTTACATCAATTGTTCAAATCCAATGCCCTGTTTTAATGAACATAAATCCATTGAATTATCCAGTTCACTGCAAGTGCAGAGAAAAGCGCTTAGGGAGCGTCAACAAATGGCAAGACCAGCTTTGTAAACAAACAGCTTTTACTGAAGCCATGCACCTGCACAAAACTCTCAGACACTATAAATAATGACCATGTCTAACTCCTACAGACTTTGATTTCAACATTTGTGAGTTTTTTATATTTTAAATGAATGCATATGTTTTTCTTTTTAAAAATTGCTTTTACAGTGAATGGTATTTACTGTAACATACATAAATAATGTATGTTATTTGTCTCTTTATTCGTCTCACAACTGATTTTCTAACTAAAAAAATATATATATTAGATTCTAATATATAAATAATTAACAATCTTGACTATTTTATGCAAGAACCTGCTAGACCTATATTGAAATTCACACACCAAATTATACCGCGATATATACCGTCTACCGTCTATGACCCAAATTATACCGCGATATGAATTTTAGGCCATATCGCCCACCCCTAGAGCCAGGTTTCCTGGTCTCCTCCCTGGGGAGGTGTTCTGGGCCTGTCCCACCAGGAGGAGACCAGGAGGAGACCAGGAGGAGACCAGGAGGAGACCCAGACCACAGAGAGACTGCGTCTCTGCTGAACGCCTCAGGATTCCCCCAGATGAGCTGAAGGAAGTATCTGGAACTGTGATGGAACTGTGCCTCTTGACGGGGGTCTGCCCTCTACGAGAGCTTTTGCAGTGTCCCCTGTGTTTCCCAGCTCTTTATGCATATTATAAATGTGTGTTTTGAAAAACTTACAGTTTGTGTGTTTATAGGCGTCTTTTGCACCTGTGGTTATTGTCAATATACTCATGCACGTGTACTGAGGGGCGCCATTCTGACCAATCAGATGGCAGTGTTTGACCAATCAGACTCTGCAGCTGATGAAGATGAGGATGATGATGATGATGGACGGCTTCAGCTGCGTCTGGAGCAGAAACCCAAGGTCTCCAACACGTCTGCATTTTCCAGCTCAAAACATGTCATCTCTAAGTTATAAGACATGTGTGTCTGTGTGTGTGCGTGTTTGTGCGTGTGTGTGTGTGTGTGTGTGCGTGTGTCTGTGTGTGTGCGTGTGTGTTTCTGTGTGTGTGTGTGTGTATGTGTGTGTGTGTATGTGTGTGTGTGTCTGTGTGTGTGTGTGTGTGTGTGTGTCTGTGTGTGTCTGTGTGTGTGTCTGTGTGTGTGTGTGTGTCTGTGTGTGTGTGTGTGTCTGTGTGTGTGTGTGTGCACTTGTTTTCAACTCCTGGTGGGTTCCATAACCTGAGATTCCACTCACGTCATGGGGACTGGTTTTACGTGGTGGGGCCCGAACACCGGACCCCACTGGTCCAAGCTTAATAATCAATGGGTAATGCTTTTCTAACGGTCCTTATGCAGTCTCTGTAAAAATATGGAAAGGACCCCTGGAGGTTTACTTTCCTGAAAAAAGTGTGTTATGTGTCGGAACCCTGGTGGTGGGTTGCGGAATATCAAGGAGGGGCACACTGGGGCAATTTCAGTCCAGCAGGCTGGAGCCAATCATGGAGCAGCACAACAGAGGCTGGAGCCAATCATGGAGCAGCACAACAGAGGCTGGAGCCAATCATGGAGCAGCACAACAGAGGAAATCAGGTGTCAGGCTAGAAAAAGGTGCAAGTATGTGGTTCATTAGGCTGCAGCCAATCACAGAGCAGCACACTGAAGCGCACGCTTACAAACCACTGGTAAGTGCTGACTACAAGTCATGACTTCAAATTGTTATATAGAATTATTACTAATTATTTGTTGTTTGTGCAGCTTAGTCAAGAGTCCCTAATTGATTAAGTCGACTCAGATTCTGACGATTTAACTGTCAAGAAGAAATCTGTAAAAAAGTATGGAAAAAGAAAAATCAAAAACACTTTTCTTCAAGACTCGGAAAGTGACGAACCAAAGGCAAATAAGATTGTTATCATGCAGCTGCAAAAGAAGAAAAATGGGGGCGAGTTTACAGCAAGAGACACTTCTGCCTCTACTGTTCAATGTCCTGCCACAAAATGTCCCGTCATTTGACTAGAAAACATGGAAATGAAAGTGACGTAGCCAGAGCATTGGCTCTACCTGTGAAATCTAAAGCACGTAAACTTCAGTTTGATTTGATCAGGAATAGTGGAAACCGTGAGCACAATGTTGAGGTTTTAAAGGCCGGCATTGGAACTTTAGTCCCAGCTAAACAGCCAAATTCCCCAGTTAAATCCAGTGAGTTTTTGCACTGTATAGACTGTGGGGCATTGCTTAAGCGAAAGTCGCTGTGGAGGCATGTGGCCAGGTGCCGGCTTTCACAGAAAGATGCCCAGGCTAAACCAGGTAGAAGTAGGGTCCAGTCCCTCTGCTCCCTAGCCCAGCCTGTACCGGAGGGCATCAGCAAAAAGCTGTGGTCTTTAATTTCGGCAATGCATCAGGATGAGGTCACGGGTGTTGTCAAAGCAGAAAAGGGGATTCTGAGACTCGGAGAGCACCTGTACTTAAAACACGGGCATGATAAGACTAAGCATGATTACATTAGGCAGAAAATGAGAGAAGTCGGTAGGTTAATTAACGAAGCAAAAACCGCAGGGAAACTGAAAACAATGAAGGATTTCTTTATTCCTTCCAACTTTAACCATGTGATTGATGCAGTCAGGTCTGTGGCTGGATATGATGAGGAAACAAATCAATACAAGACTCTATCCTTGGCCCTCAAACTCGGCCATAGCCTCAGAAAGCTAGCAGATATTCTTGAATGTGACTCAAAAATGGAGCATTGTGTTGATGAACTATTTATTAAAAACCTCCAACGAAGCCGGCTGCTTTTTGAGAAGAGGTGGGACGTCTGTGTTTCTTCTGCTGCCCTACAGACCCTCCGGCAAGCCAAGTGGAACACTCCGGACCTGCTCCCTCTGACTGAGGACGTTAGAGCCATGCATGCACATATTGAGGTATGTCGACCTGAATATGTGCAAACCCTAATAAGTGAGCCAACGTCTAAGCATTGGTCTAAACTGGCAGTTTTGACTCTTTGTGAGGTCATTATTTTCAATCGAAGAAGGGAAGGTGAGGTTTCAAAGATGCCACTGACAGCGTTTACCTTAAGAAGTAAGACTGGGATCCATTCTGACATTGCTCTGGGACTGTCCCAACTTGAGAAAAAGCTGTGTCAGCATTTTCAACGCATTGAAATTAAAGGGAAAAGAAGTCGGAAAGTGCCGGTTCTTTTGACTCCTGAAATGATTGCTTCGATGGAGGTGCTGGTGGAGAACAGAAGGGCCTGTTCCATCTCTGACCATAACCCATACTTCTTTTCCCGCCCGGGCGCAGACACCCACATCAGGGGATCAGACTCCCTACGCCAGGTAGCCAAAGAATGTGGTGCGGTGCATCCAGAGATGCTATCCTCAACCAAACTTAGAAAGCACATAGCTACTATGTCTACAGTTCTCAATATGAAAGAGAATGAGATGGACATACTTGCCAACTTCCTCGGCCATGACATTCGCATCCACAGGCAATATTACAGACTACCAGAGGGGACACTGGAGCTGGCCAAAATCAGCAAAGTGTTGATGGCCATGGAGCAGGGAAGAGTGACGGAATTCAAGGAAAGAGCCTCGACCAGATACAAATTGAGCCTGAAGGTAATTCTTGATATTATTAAAATATGTATGATTTTTTTCCCCTAAAGGCCACTTGTATTTTTATTTTCTGTGCGACAGGGAGAGCAGTAGAGATCCTCTCACAAACGGACGGGCTAAAAGAAACTTCAAGCGGAGAACCTTCAACCATTCATCCAGATGCACCCCATGGTAGTGGCAGTGCCCCTTCTGGTAAGTGTACCAGGTGGGGGATTACAGCCAGGCTGCTTGGTCCTAACCCTGGGAGTGTATATTGCTAATATATTTTTATTTCTCTCCCTAGAACGTTAGAGAAAGCCATGGTCTGCATCTGAGGTGAAGGCTGTGGAGAAGACCATGACACCTTTCATACAGACTGGAAAGGTCCCTGGGAAGTCTCACTGCCTGGCCTGGCCTGGCCTGGCCTGCATTAATGCCTCACCAGATGACCTTAGACATCGGACATGGAGTGGCATTAAATTCTATGTCAAAAATAGAATCACTGCAATTCGAAAACAAAATCTAAAATAAAATTCCTTTAAAAGAGTTGTTTGTTTTCTATTGACTGTTTTGTATTACTTAAAGTAGTCCCAGTAAAAAAAGATTATGTCTATGGGTCCCATTCTGAACGGCCCTGTCAAAGGGACCTACCAGGTAATGTGTGTGTGTGTGTTTGTGTGTGGAGCCACAAATATCCCCTGCACCACTGTCCAGGGGCTCACATTAAAGCAAAGGAGAGTAGGATGTGAAAGGCTCAACAACAGCTGATCCTTGTGATCATGAGGTTGTGTTTTCCGTGGACCCAGGTCGTTTCCAGAGTGTTCCATTCAACATAAGTACTAGTGAAATTAGACACTATTGTCAGTTGAGTCTGATTTGTATTTGCACTTTCACTTCTCAGCAAGAGGGTCCTGGGTTCAAATCTCAGCCAGAACAGGGTATTTTTGAGTGGAGTTTGCATGTTCTCCCTGTCTGTGTAGGCTCTTTTCAGGTGCTACGGTTTCCCCGTATCACAAAAAAAAACATGTACAGTAGGTATAAACCTCCAGCTCGGGTCATGACCAAGGCCATCAACATCTGGAGATGGTTCCTGGGTGCTGTACTACAGGGACCACTGCTCCTGACGGAAGCTCTACTGGCATCTGGGTCAAATGCAGAGGATGAATTGCCCTACGGCGATGAATATAGTGCACCTTTACCTTTGCCTTTAGATTAATCCCCAAACATGTAAACTCTTGAGGACTAAATCTGAACATCATGGTCTGAGTTCCATCCCTAAGCTGCTCTCACGACTTAAAGGAGCAGTGAAAACATGAGAGAGCTTCTCGTTCCCCCACTCCTGTCCTCACTGTGTTTAGTTAAAGTTGAAAAAGAGAACTCTGCAGTCCACCTGAAGAAGGCCAGCGCTTGGGCTTGTCCTGTTCTTGTAGCAGCCTCTACAGCTCCCAAGGCCCAGACTAGCGGCCATTATCCCCCTGCATGAGGTATGTCTCAGAGAACAGGTCCAAAGGTCTTGAAGTCCAAAGGTCTGGAGGTCCAAAGGTCTGGAGGTCCTGCGGTAGACTCTGTGTTGTGGTACGGCAGTGGCAGTGGGTACAGAGGAGGTGGGTACAGAGGAGGTACCATGATGCCATAGGTTTTCAGATTCATGCTGCTAAAATCTGGAACAGTCTTCCTGAAGATGTGAGACAGGCCTCCTCTCCGACAATGTTTAAAACCAGGTTAAAGACAGTTCTGTTTAGCTGTGCTACAACTGAGGGATTTTATATTTTTATCTCTCTTTTTAATGTTCTGTGATTATTTATGATTTTAATGCTTTATTTTTTTTTTCAGCACTTTGAATTGCCTTGTGTATGAATTGTGCTATATAAATAAACTTGCCTTGCCTTGCGGTGGGTGCAGAGGAGGTGTGTACACCGCTTCGTGTAACTGTAAATAAGTGCTGCAAACGTGTTCTTGATGCAGAAGCACAATTTAATAATAAAACAAACTCATGGCGCACGTCCATGAACACATACTGCTGTTATATAAAGTCACCTCCGTGAACACATACTGCTGTTATATAAAGTCACCTCCGTGAACACATACTGCTTTATATAAAGTCACCTCGTGAACACATACTGCTGTTATATAAAGTCACCTCCGTGAACACACACTGCTGTTATATAAAGTCACCTCCGTGAACACATACTGCTGTTATATAAAGTCACCTCCGTGAACACATACTGCTGTTATATAAAGTCACCTCCGTGAACACATACTGCTGTTATATAAAGTCACCTCCGTGAACACATACTGCTGTTATATAAAGTCACCTCCGTGAACACATACTGCTGTTATATAAAGTCACCTCCGTGAACACATACTGCTGTTATATAAAGTCACCTCCGTGAACACATACTGCTGTTATATAAAGTCACCTCCGTGAACACATACTGCTGTTATATAAAGTCACCTCCGTGAACACATACTGCTGTTATATAAAGTCACCACCGTGAACACATACTGCTGTTATATAAAGTCACCTCCGTGAACACATACTGCTGTTATATAAAGTCACCTCCGTGAACACATACTGCTGTTATATAAAGTCACCTCCGTGAACACATACTACTGTTATATAAAGTCACCTCCGTGAACACATACTACTGTTATATAAAGTCACCTCCGTGAACACATATACTGTTATATAAAGTCACCTCCGTGAACACATACTGCTGTTATATAAAGTCACCTCCGTGAACACATACTGCTGTTATATAAAGTCACCTCCGTGAACACATACTGCTGTTATATAAAGTCACCTCCGTGAACACATACTGCTGTTATATAAAGTCACCACCGTGAACACATACTGCTGTTATATAAAGTCACCACCGTGAACACATACTGCTGTTATATAAAGTCACCTCCGTGAACACATACTGCTGTTATATAAAGTCACCTCCGTGAACACATACTACTGTTATATAAAGTCACCTCCGTGAACACATACTGCTGTTATATAAAGTCACCTCCGTGAACACATACTACTGTTATATAAAGTCACCTCCGTGAACACATACTGCTGTTATATAAAGTCACCTCCGTGAACACATACTACTGTGTGAACATAGATTCAGAGTCGAATCCTGAAGGGTAGAAAACATCCTTGAGCTGAACGAGGACAACACTGAGGTCCCAGTCCTCAGTCCTGAGGCCCAGGGAGAGAAGAACCCGTGGTGTAACTGTTTCTGTAGGAAAAGTGCTTTATGAACAAAATGTGATTGATTGAGCTGTTGTTGTTCACACACAGACAGAAACACAAACAGACAAACACACACAGACAAACACACACAGGCAGAGTGTGTGTTTGAAGTGTGTTTGAGGAGTGCACTTGAAACGCCTCAGGGTCCTTTCAGGGTCACGCCGGGTCCCGAGGAGAGCACTCAGCCCCCCCAACCCCACACACACACACACACACACACACACACACATACACACACACACACACACACACACACAGGTGCCTCTCTTTATGACTGGGAGTCTTTGTGTCTGATTCAGACTGACACATTTAAGAATATGATGTATGTGTTTTGTGTGAATGTGACATCAATCCCCAAACACATAACAAGATAAGATAGAGTTTATTGATCTCTGATGGAGAAATGTCACATCATGGATAGAAACACTCAGATTTGTGCAACAGAAAGCAATGTGCAACATGTTAAATTCAGGATTTATTATGTACAATAAACAGTGTCAATAGTAGTGCAGGTTTTTAGTCCGAGTGCAAGTGACTTAAAGTGACTCATTGTACAGTCTGACAGCGGTGGGGATAAAGGCCCTGCTCCTTCTTACACTGAAGGAGCTCATCAGCTCCTCCTCAGTCCTGTTCAGTGGGAGGTGTTGTTCATGATGGAGGTGGCTTTGACCAGCACCTCCTGTCCCTCACCTCCTCCACAGAGTCCAGGGGCCTCAGAAGGAACTTAGCCTCCTCAAAAGGACCTCAGCTTCCTCAGAAGGACCTCAGTCTCCTCAGAAGGACCTCAGCCTCCTCAGAAGGACCTCAGTCTCCTCAGAAGGACCTCAGCCTCCTCAGAAGGACCTCAGCCTCCTCAGAAGGACCTCAGCTTCCTCAGAAGGACCTCAGTCTCCTTAGAAGGACCTCAGCCTCCTCAGAAGGACCTCAGCCTCCTCAGAAGGACCTCAGTCTCCTCAGAAGGACCTCAGCCTCCTCAGAAGGAAGAGGCGACTTTGGCCCTTCTTGTGCAGGGCGTTTGTATTATGGACCAGTCCAGTTTATTGTTAATGTGAACACACAGGTACTTGAAGCTGTCCACCAGCTCAATGTCCTCCCCCTGGATGTTCAGCAGCGTGTGGGAAAGTGGTTTTCTCCTGAAGTCGATGACCATCTCCTTGGTCTTACTGGTGTTAGCACAGGTACCATCTCCTTGGTCTTACTGGTGTTAGCACAGGTACCATCTCCTTGGTCTTACTGGTGTTCAAGCACAGGTACCATCTCCTTGGTCTTACTGGTGTTAGCACAGGTACCATCTCCTTGGTCTTACTGGTGTTAGCACAGGTACCATCTCCTTGGTCTTACTGGTGTTAGCACAGGTACCATCTCCTTGGTCTTACTGGTGTCAGCACAGGTACCATCTCCTTGGTCTTACTGGTGTTAGCACAGGTACCATCTCCTTGGTCTTACTGGTGTTAGCACAGGTACAATACAATACAATGTATTCTTGTATAGCCCTAGGTCACAACAGAAGTCGTCTCAGAGACTTAACAAAACCATTGAAATCACCAACACAGGTCAGAGAATCAACAGTTAAAACACATGAAGAATATAAAGCACACACAGAAGAAAATGTCCATACATGTTGTAGAATGCTAAAGTGTCCTGATCATCACCAATCCTTTCTGTTGGACACTAACTGTCCAACAAGACCCTCCTGCATCCACAAGGAACAACTCTTAAAAAACCCAGTGGGAAAAAGTGAGAAACCTTGGGGAGCACTAGGGAAACCCACAGGGAGGGAGACCCATATGAGAAAGGGATCCGCTCCTCCGGACGGACAGACTAATGATCCAGGACCTAAGCTAGCTACAGAACGTGGACCAGTGGACGCTGAACGTGGACAGGTCCGGTGCAGGACTGAAGCACTCCCAGGCGGGTCGGGCGGGGCAGTCCGCAGGTGTAGATGGAAGAGGCCAGGCTCAGAGATCCCGTCATCGTACCATGAAACAGACAATGGGACAACGGGTGAATAGCAATGAACAAACCACAGTCAGAATCCTAGAAGTGCTAAACAGATAAAGTAGGA